TCAAGATCTGTTGATAAAACCCCATACGAGCTGTGGACGGGTACAGCACCGAACTTGGCACATCTGAAGATATTTGGGTGCGAGGCTTACGTCCACGTTCCCGATGCAAAACGGAAGAAATTCGACGCGAAGGCAAGAAAGTTGTTGTTTATCGGTTATTCCAGTCAGCATAAGGGCTATCGGTTTCTCGACCGGGCAACAAACCGAGTAGTCATCAGCCGTGACGCGAAATTTTTGGAGCTCGGTAACGGCTCTGAGCAGCAGGAGGAGAAATCGGAAGAACGGGAGATCCCAGTGCAGCAGTCAGGCGAAGAAGAAGAAGTAGAAGTGTTGATTGGGAATAATGATGATCAAAGTGTAGTGTGTGAAGAAGAGCAGTCAGTGTACGATGACGCAAACGAGTCGAATGAAAGTGACTTTTACGGATTTGACGATAACCCTGTTGAGGACAATGGAGACAATGAAGTGTTAAACAGAGCGTGCCGCCAAAATCGTGGTGTATTGCCGAAGAGATACGAAGACTTTGTGGTAGGGCAAGTGACTCTTGATGAAGAACCTTGTGACTTTCAGGAGGCAATAGTGATCCCTGAGTGGAAGTGTGCTATGATCGAAGAGATGAAGGCTCATGCCGAGAACAAAACCTGGGAGCTTGTGCGACTACCTGCCGGGAAGAAACTTATTGGTGCAAAATGGGTTTATAAACTGAAACGTGACGATACGGGTAGAGTAGTCAAGCATAAAGCTCGCATAGTGGCGCAAGGGTACACTCAATCACCTGGAGTGGATTATGCGGAGGTGTTCGCCCCAGTGACGCGGCAAACGACGTTGCGCGTACTGTTGGCAGTCGCCGGACAGCAGCGGTTGGAGCTAAAACAGTACGATGTGAAAACTGCTTACCTTAACGGTACAATTGAGGAGGAGTTGTACATGAGCCAACCTCCAGGCTTCGTAGAAAAGGAGAAGGAAGGCTTTGTGTGCAGACTCCGGAAGAGCATTTACGGATTACGTCAATCTGCGAGGTGCTGGCATAAGGTGCTACATGCTGCACTCCTTGAGCTGAAGTTCGAACCATGCGAGACGGATGCGTGTCTGTATATATGCCGTGGAGAGTGTGTAGTATATTTGCTGGTATATGTAGACGACTTGATTATCGGATGCACCAATGAGGAGGAGATCGACAGAGTATTCGAGAGCCTGCGCCAAAGATTTGGCATGACGGCGCTTGGTACAGTTCGGCACTTCCTAGGGTACGAAATAGAGAAAGAAGAGGGATGTTACACGCTCAGACTGACACCGTACATCGAAAGCTTGATCCGGAAGTTCAACATGGAGAACGCACGACCTGTGAAGACCCCCATGGATACGGGATATACTTTGGAGAATCCTGACAGCAAGCAATTAGATGACCCGTCGTTGTTTCGAAGCTTGGTTGGAGGGCTATTGTATCTGGCCGTCAATGCCAGACCTGACTTGTCACTGTGTGTCGGGCTTCTAGGTAGAAAAGTTAGTCAGCCGAACAACATGGATTGGTCAGCGGCAAAGCGCGTTCTGCAGTATCTAAACACAACAAAGGGATGGAAGCTCCGGTATGGTTCAAAGGAAAACTGGACACTGGTTGGATATACTGATTCAGACTGGGCTGGTGATCGGCAGACCAGACGTTCGACTACTGGTTTCGTTTTCTTTTACGGTAGCGGTCCGGTCAGCTGGGTGAGCAAGGCACAAGGCTCGGTTGCTTTGTCATCTCTTGAGGCGGAATACAACGCGCTCACCTTGGCCTGCCAGGAAGTGGTATGGTTGAGGCGACTTCTGAACGAGCTTGGACATCCGCAAAACGAACCGACGACAATTTTCGAGGATAACCAAGGATGTCTTAGTTTCGCCAAGGCGGAGAGGTCTAGTGGTCGAGTAAAGCATATCGGCACCAAACGACATTTTGTACGGGAATTGTGTGAGCAGAATATCGTGAAGCTTGTGTACTGCCCCACCAACGAAATGGTCGCCGATGGTTTAACGAAGCCTGCTGGACCTACTATGTTGCAGAAGTTTGTTAACTGCATCGGTTTGCAGCCGTAAGTCGATTCAGCACTCATCTAGGAGGAGTGTAGGAGTGAGATGAGTACAGCGAATCATCCCCCGAAGAGATATAAGTGTGTAGAGTTAAATTCAATATTTTTGACAACACTGTTTCTATTTCCGTTTCAATCATTAAAGTGAACTCGATACGAATCGAACGTGTTTTTCTGTTTTCTCCGAGTATCCGCAAGTTATTCTCGACTGGTTCCTTTTTCTTCTGCTTCGGTCGCGTTCTGCGTGTCTCTGCTGTCCTGTTGGTCCATCAGTCTTAACCACTTCAAACTAGGGAACAACGAATAGAAGATTAGGAATCACATAGATGAAGACAACTAACCCATTTTTTTTCCTTGTTTCAAGATCATGCTCGGTAGACAAAGCCGAGTCTTGTCACTATCAACAAGGCATAAAAAGTAACAAGGACTAAGATGTGTTCCTTGGATTACTGAAAAATCCTGTTCCCCTAGTTTGAAGGAGTCAGGACTAGGAATCGGTGGTAGATCTTACATCCCGTAACGGACCACGAAAAGGTGATCTACCCACGTTACGGGGCTTCCTTTCGGATATTCCCTACAGTTTTTGGAACATCTCAGAAGTTTGAGGCCTCCCTTAGCTCAGTCTGTGAAGGCACAGGTACAAAGCAAGACCATGCTGGAGGTGACTGGGTTCGATTCCTGGTCCGGTATAGGAATTTTTCGGATTGGAAAAATTTTTCGATTTCACTGGATATAAGAGTATGATTGTACTTGCCACACGATTATACTACTGCAACAATGGTACAGGCATCGAAAGCTCTCAATTAATAACTGTGGAAGTGCATCTAGAACACTAAGCTGAGAGCACGCAATATGCTAATATGCGATAAGCAATAAACTTAAAATGCGAAGGAGAAAACGAACAATAATAATAATTAGCAGATGATTGAGAACAAGAAGAAGAATTAGTTTTAGAACTTACTCCAAAAGGCGCAGAGCTTTTCAGATTTTTCTGGACTTTCCTGAATTTTTCAGAACCTCTTAAAATTTCCTGCATTTTTCTTGGGTCTATTTTGTTTTTATAATCTAGTGTTTTGCTTTCATTTGCAGGCGGATTATTTTTCCAACGCTTATTTCTGAATTTGTAATATTTTATTTCGGTGCTGATTGAATCTTGATGAAGACCGAAGCAGTTTCCGAAACGATCTAGCTAGTCACAACTGCAAAAGTACCGATGACTAGCTCAAGTAAGTGAATGTGGATAACGGGATGGCGATTAAATATAATGTTTGGGAGCGAATTTGAAATGAGCAATCCCGGACATGCAGCAGTAGCACAGTATCCAAAAACTGTCTAGTTGGTTTCAATTTGGTTGGCTGCTTGCTTCGTTGGACGCACAGTTATTACCTACTGTCTTTGAAAATTAAAAATTGTTGCAGATAACAACAGACACAACTGCTGCATCGGACCCTATCAACACCTACATATACTAAAGATACTTTCATGGGCCAAATCTATTATTTTATTAGATACCCCGCCGTACAATAAAATCATTTGAAATAATAGTCCTTCCCTAGCAGCACGCTTGTCACATATCGGTTGTAGAAACTTCTTTACGACTTATTTCAGTCATAAACAAGTTGCTGCAACTTTTATTAACGGAAGTGTGCTACTCGGGTTTGAAACCAAACCCTGCAGAATTACGTTTCAATCCTCCCTAATATTGTAACGATTATCCTTCCACGATTTAACCTCGCTGGATCCGACTTCACACATCATCTGAGCCATCATAAAAACCAAACCCCTTCCATGCACATTCAACCACAATCTGTAGCCCACATCCACCCGGGTGGAAACGGCAAATTACCGATGACTGCACAAGATAGTGCCAACTCCGCCACGACCTTAGCCATGCAAGGTAGCGCCCGGTGGTCGTAGCCGCTATTCATGCAAAAGTATCCTTCTATTTCGCAACTCACTACTTAGAACTAGCAGCGTTCCGTCATCGCATCGTGGCGGTGGCACTTGGCCAAAAGAACTGCCTTCCATCTAAATAATGTGCACACACATTCGTTCAGCTCGGTTCACATGGATCCAGACCCCGAATGTGAAACGTGGAAACCGAATTTATTTGGCAAATTTCCGCCGAAAATCCTTCTCTCCCTTTCTGGCATCGTGGCACCGTCGTTGCCGTCGTCATCGTCCTCGGTTATTGAAAGTAGGAAGGAAGCACATGGGGCGAGCATGTGGGGTTCCTGTCTTCCCGTTCTGGCCCGTTTCCCAGAGTGAACTTTGAACCTTCAACACACATAGCGATGCGAGCGGAGGAAAGGAAGGAGACATGCCTTCGAGCTACCAACAGTCAACGACGACGACGACGACGACGACGACGACACACGCCGAGAGGGAGAGAGACAGACATGTATGTTTATAAACATCGTTATGAATATGAGCATCCGTTAGTCTATTTTTTTTCTTCGGTGAATTCGTCCTTTCGGTCTGATGTGGGAACTGAACGCTGGCTGGCAACCAAAACGAATAGCGAAAAAATACGATAATTTCATATCCTCTCGCAGCGAGCGAGCGGTGTCGTGGTTGAGAGTGGCGGAAAGTTTCAAATCCAGTTGTGGGGAGTTATTTTTTGGGGGTTTTCATTTTCGACATGTGCCGTTGTAACTTTTCGGCTTCTTTCATCGGTTACATCAATAACAGTAAACGAGACGGGGGAGGTTGAGTTGGGACGACCTTTTTTTTTGCTGCTTCGTCCGCAATGCAGCAGTTAGACTTTGGTTTCAAAATGCAACTGAATTTTTGCTGGAAGTCGTCCCGGAGATGATAATTAATGTACTTTGCGGGTTTTGAGCTAGGGGGGATTTTTTTTTTAATTGGCACTCTACATGGATAGATAACATGCAGCAAAGTTCAAGGGGCTGTCGGTATGGATGTACTTACGTTTCTTTTTCAGGTATGGTTGGTCGTGCATCACACGGGGGTCGGACATTTCCATCAGTGGGCTGTACATTTTGCCCGGCTCCATGCCCGGAGGGAACAGACCGAGTGGGGAGTCCAGACCGAACACTGGAAGGTGGGAAAGAGAGTTCATTAGGTTATGGATTTGAAGAATTCTAACTCTTACTGCTAAAAGAGATTGCATTGCCCATAATGGCATATCAGTCCCATCTGTTATGCGATTTTGGGTAGCTATGCGATCATAATAAAGGGGACGAAGTGTTTGATATTGAAAAATGCATTCTTTCTGTCGTTCGAGAACCGGGCTTTATAGGTATAGATCTTCATAAGTTGGATTCAATTTATTCAATTTGATTGATCAATGCAAAGTTGGTTCACATTCAAGATTTGTTTTACCTTTGCGTACCCAACGTCTTGGTTTGTATAGATTTCAATTAATTTCAATTATCATTAGTAAGAACAATGGTTTTTCTAGATTTCTATTTCAAGTTTCTAACATGTTCTCATAGATCTCATCTAACTTGCTCAACTACATTTTAGAGATTTGATTTGGAAAACTTCGAAGGCCTGCACTGAAAATCTTGAAGTAAGAGTTCTGAACAGTTTAAACCTTTCGTGATAGGAGAAATCTCCGAAAAAATTAAAGAAGAATAATATTTGTGCGAGGAAACTGCTACCTTCCATATATTTAAAATATTTGTTTAAAAACTACAAGGGATAGCCCTATGGGGTTGTACGCAATGGTGAAGTAGGACTACATGGTCTTATATAATAAATCTTATTTGTTCACTGCAGCAGGAGCTTGTGTTTTGTGTAACAATACGAATTTGAGCGGGGTTATTTCTGTTTATACTCTTTAGTATGACGCGCTTGATGGCCCACAGAGACTCATGAAGAGCTACTGATTCCGATCAATAGCGGTGTGGCATCTTCCACCTTCTATGGATGCTCATGTGGGCTGCAGCTCGCTGCTTGCAGGCAGCCTTTCGTTCTGTACTAGTGTTCAACGCCACGCGCCGAAAGAACTGCTGCTGCTGATGCAGACAACCGGACACCACCCCACAGGGTGATTGGAACTGAATCCGATCAGCGGTTGAGGGCAGCCTTGATAGCTAGCTGCTTGCGGGGAGCCTTTCGTTGTGTACTGGAGCAAACCTCCACTAATCACGCGGTGATTGAATATACACCGTTTAGTGAGACCGGATGGAATTCAACTTTGAAATCTGTTTTAGGGAAATCGGTTTTCGCAGCAACAGTTGCGCAATTATCATAGAAACAGTTGCAGATTCGTGCAATTTTCAATAGTAATATTATGAAAAATGAAACAGTCCTAAGTTAATCCGATGCGTAGAAATATTTCTGATCGATTGGTGATAAAATTATTGAAATTGGTCCAAGGGCAGCTGAGTTATTAACGTTCAAAATCTTTCATAATTTTGTTACATGTTCCATTTTCAGTTTTCACAAAGTGTACCCCATGCAGAAATCACAGACGTAGTCCTACGTCAAAAAATCAAAGCACTAGAAATAAAGGGTGTACTCTATAAAAATGACACACACACACACGCCCAGAGCCGCGCGACGGACGCGATGATCGCAGGCTCGGTCTTCTGCATTATGGTCAGAAATGTCGACATGACTGAACGCTGAACAAGAAACCTTATGCTAGGAGGTTGAAATAATCTTAGCACTTGTTCCACCTGATCATGTAAGTAAGGCAACAGTAAGAGTGGTGGTATCTCATTGGTGCCGGGGAGATAATATGTTACCTCGGCTCCCACCTATTCTGCACCTCTTATATTGCCTTACAATGCCAGACTAGAGTCAAGCTCAACAGGGTCTTCTTTCTCCGCTAGTGTTTCCAAGCCCGTCCCCTTGGCTGTGGTTTCGCTAGATAGTAGATAGGGACAGAGGGAATCTCGTTAATCCATTCATGCGCGTCACTAATTAGATGACGAGGCATTTGGCTACCTTAAGACAGTCATAGTTACTCCCGCCGTTTACCCGCGCTTGCTTGAATTTCTTCACGTTGACATTCAGAGCACTGGGCAGAAATCACATTGTGTCAACACCTGTTGAGGCCATCACAATGCTTTGTTTTAATTAGACTGTCATGTTGTGCCAGTTTTGAATCGACTGTTTGGTGATGACTGCAACGCCCGCGGGACACACACCCACACACGGGAGCCCGCGGAGGCTCCGCGCGCAAGCGTACACCCACGGAGGAACGCATTGAGGCAAACCCCCACCGCAAAGCGGGAGCATAGCCCGAGTCATCCCAGTCTTCAGAGCCAATCCTTATCCCGAAGTTACGGACTATCGACTAGAGACTCTAAACCTTGAAGACCTGCTGCGGATTTGGTACAAGGTCCAAGAAGAGAATATCGACACAGCAATTTAATACCATGCTCTACCAGCCTGTCTAACCATATCTCTCTATGAAATACTTCCATGGCTAGTGTGACTATTAAACAGAAAAGAAAATTCTTCCGATATCTCTGGTTGGCTTCTCGAAGAAAAGGATTCATGTTACCATGATTACAAAGGCGCTACCGTTGCCGGTATGCAAACACCAATGCAAACGTATACTCAACAGGCTCCGGAATTGTAACTGGATTCCCATTCGCTCATTCAATATATAGAGTTTTCGATCTAATTTCCGTCGTACTAAGCACAACCCGCGCTTTACCTCTCTTTTCTGAACGAGTTTAAACAATAAATGCAATGCGGTCAAAGATGACTTCTAAATTTATTCACCTTTCCATACGTACAGTTGGATTTGATAAAGAGCCACAAATTGTTGAGATATTGTTTAAAATCTAATACTGCTTCTTGATTCTAAATTCGTTCTACGAGTTTCAATTCCGTCCAAACGCATTGAAACGCCATTAGATTTTCTTCGTCCTACGGATGAACGTAGAAAAAGGGGATTCGCTAGGAGCGCTTCTTTTGTTTTGAGAACAATGGGCGTAAATATTCATACAATGCGCTCTAACAGGATTTATGTTGTAGCTAATGAACTAACGCATCGGAACACACCTATTATTGATTTGTGCACGGTGAAATCATTGATATTATTGATCTTTTCTAATCGATAGAACGGAAATCTACCCTACGAGGATGTTGCATCAAACAGCGTGGTAGAGCTTAGGATTGGCTAACTCGTGTTCAACTGCTGTTGACACGAATCCCTCCTCCACTTCAGTCATCCAAGATCTTATTCGAATATTTGCTACTACCACCAAGATCTGTACTAGTGGCGGCTTCATGTCGGCTTACGCCAGGCACTTCAACGCACACCACAAGACCCTCCTACTCGCTGGCGTCTCAAAGGGCAGGCGTGCGAACGCGCTGTCCCACTTGTACGCCGGCGGTAATGTATAGGCAAACCACTTTTTTTTTTAATTTATTAATTTATTTGATAAGGCTCAACCGAATTAACTTTACAGAGCCGAGGATTCTTGTTCATTATACAATTCATCTTAAAACTATAGTCAAAATGTACAACACAATAAACATGTTATTTTCCACTATCCAATAAGCCTCCTCCACCAGAACGGGATCCGCTTCCAGTGGTTTCATTGTTTGGCAGATCCGCCAACGGTGGTCAGAGCGCTTCCATTGCAGCAATGGACGCAAAACGTGGTCAGCACTCACACATTCATCACGAAACGGTTACTTTCCAAAGTCGACGACGCATCGACTGAAAGAACTGCTGATGAAGTAACCAGACGATCGCGTGACACACATTGAGAGTGGTCTGCTTCTATCGACAGCAGAGTGAACACTGTAGGCAAACGACTTAAGCGCCTTCCATTTTAAGGGGTAATTGCTTCGACAGGTGAGTTGTTACACACTCCTTAGCGGATGACGACTTCCATGTCCACCGTCCTGCTGTCTGTAGCAATCAACACCTTTCATGGTATCTATGATGCGTCGTTTATTTAGGCACCGTAACATTACGTTTGGTTCATCCCACAGCACCAGTTCTGCTTACCAAAACTTGGCCCACTAAGCACAGGGATATCTTCTCCGCCGCTTATGGAAGCACGACCGCCAAAATCAAACCGATTATCAGAATTGAAATTTTCAGGGAATGAAAAACTACTAATGAGTTATAATTTACACAATTTGATTTATTCAATTTCGTCTATCCTGAATGCCCGCACCTTCCTTTTCACTCCACCCATCAAATTTTGTAAAACCGATTTCCCAGTGTTTTTGTTGTTTTTACCCAAATTTTCTTCAACTCCAGCTCTATTTTAATAGTTTTGGGATTTTTGCGAAGTTCCATCTTCATAATTGCCCAGAATTTTTCAATTGCGTGAAGTTTCGGTGAATTTGGTGGGTTCATATCTTTTGGCACAAAATTGACTCCGTTGGATCGGTACCACTCCAACACGTTTCGAGCGGAGTGACAGGATGCTAGAACAGGCCAAAACAGAGTTGATCCTTTGTGCTTCCTTATTAATGCACAGAAAAAAATTCTGAATTTTAACTATCGCTTAAAATCTCGTTTAATTTTGAGCTATACTTGACATAAACAGCGAAATCGTTTACAAGCTTGCATACAATATTGCTAACTTATGCGATATTGCGCTTAAATTTACACGAAATATCGCGTAAATTTATGCCAAATCTAGCGTTAATTTTATGTGCGCTATATCTCGCAGAAATTTCCATGAATTTTTCGAACGGTGTGGCAAGAGACGCTTCTTAAGGCACTCTTCCGTGTAAATCGCATCGTTGATTGTTCCGGAAGTGATGAAGGGAGCGCTTATTTCACCACATCTTCAAATTGCCTGTCAGATCAGGAACTTCTTAGCAAATTTCCATAAATTCTTCTTTCGAACATCCTCCGGAACATCGAACTTAGACTTGGCAATGAAATATTCTTGCCCTGGGAGTTGACGTAAGTTTCGTCATCCATCACGATGCATCGCGATTTGGTAAGCAACTTCGTGTAAAGTTTCTGGGCGCGGGTTTTCATAGTGATTTTTTTGCTCTTCATTCCTTGCAAACATGTAACCCAGCACGCTTCATGGTTTTCTGCACAAAACCGACTGACACCTTGGACTTTCTAGCGACATCTCGAATTGACATGTTTG